ACAAGCGAGAGAAACTGGTAGCTCGCGGTCGGCGGCAAGGCCAAACAATATTTGGGTAGCAACCACACTCCCGATACAATTCAGAAAATGCCTCCCGATGAGATCGATAAGCTGTACGCGAGATGTATGTCCCGAATTGGCGCCGAAATGACGAAAACCATAGGGTCTGTCATAAGGCAAGTCTACGCCGGCTTAGTGTCGTACTTCCTTCCCATTCCACCGGAACGTCGACTTTACCTGTGGGAAGATCTCGAGAAAGATCCGTTCATCGAACACACTTTGAGCGCCGTCAGCTGCGTGTTGTACCACAAATACGGCATGTTTTTAGCTCCGGTAACCGCGACGATCATGAAATGGCTCAGGAACCGACACAAGTCACCAAGGAAAAGAATCCTAAAAAGGTCGACGCTGGTAGAAGAGGTGGTTTAGCCAAGCACCACAAAAATAATTATATTCTGTGTTTATATAATAAACCCCAATCAGCACCAAAAACAACACCGCAACCACAATTAGAGGTAAACCCGCATATTATGTTATAAAATTTATTTATTTTTGTTATATACATAATGTCTGAAGGAAAAACATTCACGCATATCATGCCTGCCTAGCCGTACTCTCGTTTAACAAAAATGATTCTCAAACAACCAACAATCAAACTCGATTTCGACGTGCAGGATATGGGCATGTTAATTATGAATTTGGGTATGGCGTTGGCCACCAAGGACGTTCTCGTAAAACAAGGAATCATACCGGAATTTTTGTTAAAGTAACATGAACACATATTGAATGGCTACGTTCGCTATGATAGTCGGCGTGGCTTTAGTCTACGCCCTGTCATTTTCCGGGAGCAATTACCTTTTTCTCGAAATTACGAGAGTCGAGCCCTATCAACCCCAGCTGATGAGGAAGGGCGTTTACCCCTATGAATACATGGACAGCTGGGTCAAGTTCAACGAGACACGACTGCCTCCCATCAACCGATTTTACAGCAGCTTGACCGACTCGGCCATCACCCAGGACGATTACTCGCACGCGATTAACATAAGGGATAAACTGGGCTGCAAGAATCTGGGTGATTACCACGACCTGTACTTGAAAACAGACATACTCCTGTTGGCCGACGTGTTCGAGACATTTAGAAAAACGGCCTCGAAACAGTACGGCCTAGACCCCTCGTGGTATTTCTCCTCCCCCGGTCTCTCGTTGGATGCCTTGTTGAAAAAGACCGGTGTGAAACTCAAACTGTTGACGGATTACGACATGCACCTGTTCATCGAAAAAGGCTTGCGAGGTGGGATTTCCATGGCCTCCAAACGCTACGCGAAAGCCAACAACAAGTACGTGAAAAACTATAATCTGAATCAACCCACCACCCATATCCTCTATCTCAACGCCAACAACCTGTACGACTGGGCCATGAGCCAGTATCTACCCACCGGGGGATTCGAGTGGACATCCGAGACGATACTCGAAGTGGACTTGGAATATCCCATGGAATTACACAAATCACACAACAGTTATCCACTCGCTCCCAAACGTTTGAACGTTAACCCAGATTGGATGTCCGAATATCAACAAACGTTGCTGGGGAAAAATAAACTAACGACCAACGTTGAAAAACGTGTACCCATCTTGATGAACAAGAAAAAATATATCGTTCACTATCGCAACCTGCAACTGTACTTGTCGCTGGGAATGAAACTCACGAAAATGCATAGGGTGCTCAAGTTCGACCAAAGTCTGTGGATGGAGCCCTACATTAGAATGAACACGGATTTTCGAAAGCGGGCCAACAGTGATTTCGAGAAAAATCTGTACAAGCTCATGAACAACTCGGTGTTCGGTAAGACGATGGAAAATTTGAGAAAACGTGTGAACGTGAAACTTGTTCAATCGAAAGGGGAAGAAAAACTCAGGAAACTGATAGCCAGCCCAGCATTCACCCGAAGCAAAATAATCAGCGACGATCTGGTAGCATTGTCAAATCAAATTCAACCGGCCTGTTAACGTGGGGATGAGCATCCTCGACTTATTCAAACACTTGATGTACGACTTTTATTACAACGAACTGAAGAAACAGTACGGCGTCAGGTGTGAAGTGCTGTACACGGACACGGATTCCCTGCTGATGGAAATTCGAACCGATGACGTGTACGAGGACATGAAGAAAAAATACACCTGTACGACACCAGCGACTACCCCAAGGACCACCCTATGCATGACACTATCAATAAAAAAGTGCTCGGCAAGATGAAGGACGAATGCACCGGTACGCCGATCGCGTAATACATCGGCTTGAAGCCCAAAATGTTTTCCATCCTGAAAGCTGACGATAATGAAATCAGAAAAGCGAAAGGTGTGAAAAAATATGTGGTTAAGAAACAAATCAAACGCGCCAGATTCAAGGAAGCCCTGTTCAAGACTCGCACTTTCAAACATCAAATAAAAATATACTAGGCACATAAAGAAACTGTGCATACAAAAAATTTAAATCTAAATTTATCAAACCTGTGTAGACACATAAGGATTTAAACTCAGAGATTAGTGACATGTATCTAACTTGCATGCACGTGCCACGTTCCGTGACGTCAGTGGGTTCGTCCTTGAGACGTGCAATACATTGTTCCACGTGCATTCCGGGAAAGACAAACAGAGCAAATGAAGGCCACACAATACTGTCACTTTGGAAAGCTCAACCCCTGCCCTTGCGATCGTTCAAAAAATTAAACGGCTTTTGAAACGCATAGCATGCCAAGGCTCACGTCTGCACAACGTCATGATGCCATTGGGATGGTCCGTGGGGCAATGTCTCAACGACAAGTGGCTGCACATTTCCACTGCCACCGGAACACCATTTCTGCACTGGTGAGACGCTACCAGAACACACATGACGTCATCGATCGGCCACGTTCTGGACGTCCACGTGTAACAACGCCAAAACAGGACAGATGGATAAGGGTGACCCATCTGCGCCACAGGTTTCAGACTGCAGTGATGACTGCCCGAACCATCCCAGGACTTCGCCGTATCCATCCCAACCTAGTTCGACAACGTTTATGTCATCACGGGATCAGACCACGACGTCCCGCCATACGGCCTATCCTGACATAACGTCATCGGCAAGCTCGCCGAATGTGGTGCCGAAATCATGTCCGCAGACCCTTGTTTTGGTGGAGAAATGTTGTTTTTACAGATGAGTCCAGGTTTAACATTTCCCATAATGATGGACGTCAACGTGCCTATAGACGCGTGGGAGAACGTTATGCACAGGCCTGTGTCTTGGAGAGGAATCGCTTTGGTGGTGGTTCCGTGATGATTTTGGGTGGAATAACAGCACGCCAAAGAACTCCTTTGGTGATTGTTCAGGGCAACTTAACTGGTGTGGGCTACAGGGATCAGATTCTTTGACCTGTGGCAATTCCTTTTCTGTAACGTCATGGCCCTGGGTTAACATTCCAACCGGACAATGCCCGCCCTCATACGGCAACGGTTGCTATGGATTTCTTGCAACACCACAACGTTGACTTACTGCCTTGGTCTGCAAATTCACTGGATCTCTCCCCGATAGAGCATGTTTGGGACGAGATGGATCGACGTCTACGCCGTCTTCCTCATCCCCCAGATAACGTCCTTGACCTTGCAACAGAACTTGAGAGAATCTGGCGTGACATTCCACAAGCCTTCCTTGCACGTTTGATAGGCTCTATGCGCCGTCGATGCACTGCTGTTCTCAAAGCCGATTGTGGACATACCCGTTATTGAGCTTGTGACATGGTCGTTTGACCCCTGTCCCGACTTGTTATGGTCTCATGATCCCTCTATTAAAGTTTATATGTACCTTTGACATTGTTATCGTACTTATCAAGTGCGATAATATTTTGACAATGCACAGTTTCTTGCACAGCTAGTATATATATATATAATGTCACGACATCAACATTTTCTTGAAAACATTTATTACAGCCTGCGTTGATACTGGAAAGGCGCGAGCGCCATACACAAGCTTGCTGAGATAGCATGAGTATCACAAAACGAAGCCAAAGCGTGGCTGGAAAAACAAGCCCTGTGGCAATTCTACCTACAGGAACCGCGCTACGTACATAGAAGAAAATTTGACGTGTTGACGCCCAATGGCGTTCACCAAGCCGACCTCCTGTTTCTACCTCACGACAGGGTGAGACATAAAACATGCAAGTACGCCCTAACCGTCGTTGACGTGGCCAGCCGCTACAAAGAAGCGGAACCCTTGAGCGCGTAAGATTGGACCCAAGTAGCTCATCCGTTCGAGCGCATATACAAGCGCAGTCCGCTGACATTGCCCACCGAGCTGCAAGTCGATCCTGGACGGGAGTTAATGGGTGCCGTGTCACAGCTACTAACCAAGCACAACGTCCAAGTCAGGCGTGGCGCGGCCGGAGCTCATCGCAGCCAAGCTATCATCGAGAGATTCAATAGGACTTTTGCAGAGCGCTTATTCAGACATCAGAAAGTGCAGGAAATAAGTCTAAATAAACCCAACACCGAATTGGTCGCGAGGCTACCTCAAGTGGTGTCGGCTATCAATCACGAAATCACTCGTCTCATCAATAAAAAAACAGCCGACGCTATTAAATTGAAATCAGTGAACGCTGAATCGGCTGCACCATCGCGTAAAGGAAAAGAGAAACAAATACCCGACTGGGTTCTCGTGAGGTACCTCTACCAGCCGGGAGAACACGAAGGAGACACTCGGAAATGAGCCACCGATCCGACACGGTCGATCAAAACTTACAACATAGATAAAGTGGACATCAAAGACAACGAACCGAACTTGTACTATTTGAAAGATGGACCGCCGAGAGGTTTCGCCAGAGAGGAATTATTGATCATACCTCACGACACAATGTTACCCCAAACAAAGAAGTAGCAATTCAAAATATTTAACACTTACCTCCCTGTCGAGTGATCACAATAGTGTCACGTGACCAAGAAGTGTTGGCTTGCGTCATACTGACCAGGAAGTTGGCTGCGGGGTTTCAAAAGTGGTATACACACTAGCAGAAAGACATTAGGGCCTGATAAGAGGATTTGGTCAAAAGTGATCTCGTACCGCTATTCTATATAGTACCCAAGCTATATCAGAGAAATATCGTTACTTCAGAGCGTCGACCGCCGTCACATCCGAGGCAGCCTGTATGATCCGGACATTTCCGAGTTGAGTGGTTTCGTCTCGTGCATCTCATAGTGTAAAGCGACCGGTCATTCTTATGGCTTGTAAGGTCTGTTTGTATTCTTAGATCGAATGTTATACCAGCTTTCCATGTGCGGGATTTTGGAAGAATATGACAGCGACATGACAGGATCGAATGCTTACTGATACACTGAAGGATGCCAGTTGACATATGAACCTTCAAGGGTCGTTGCTGTTCCGCCTTCCTTCAAGGCCTGTTACATGTATGTATGACTAGGGTTGTATGTATGCACCTATTTGTTACACACATATCTGTTCATTAAAATATATTTGTGTCTCGTGATAAACGCAACAAAGACTGTTATTCTCGACAGGGAATATTGTGAACAGTTAGAATACAGATGACTGTTGTACCAGGATGTCGGACGCAAAGGTTCATATAGTGACATGCTTGAACGATGACTGTGAAATACAGTATCATGCTCGTATGTGTGAAGATCTGGAGAGACAGGGGGTCGTGTGCGTCATGGAAGGGAGGGGGGATTATGGCATCGGATCTACTTTTATGGAGAAGTTCAAGGAAATGGTGGAAAGTACCCTTGTTACAATCATACATCTCTGTCCTGACATGATCAGCCGACTGACGAATCTATCTGACGTTCTCCAAGGTCACCAACGTCAGAAATATTTATTCATTCACGTCAAATCTACCCCGAAGGAAATTCCGGAGATTTACAAGAAAGTTACTAAGATGCTCTTAGTAAAGGATTCATATTATAAAAATATCATAGACAAGGTTGTGGGGATTGTGCAACAGCCTATCTGTGCGTCGTCTGCTACTGAACTGATCCACACGTCTGCTACAAAACTGTCGTCTGCTTCAGAATTGTCACCCGGTGCTAAACAGTATGATGAATATTATTCAGATTCTGGTATGCGTGCTCATTCCGACATACCGCTAAGAGAGCATGACAAGTTTATCCGTCATGTTGAAGATCAGCAATGCAGAGATACTGGTGTGTACTTTTTGTCAAGCAAGATACACTACAAGGCTCATGATCTCCTGAAATGTGAGTACACGTAGACATGCTCTTGCACTGACTTTCTATGAACTATAGCACAGGATCTTTATTACAGAGAATAAGGTACCCCAGAATAACACTCACGCTTTAGTAACTTGAATGCATCTGACTTCACATTCCTCTCAAACATTTTGATGACGGGGTCTCCTTGTCTCCAACCAAAGGTTGTTCATGTGTTTCTGATAGCAAGAGGGCGGTGGGGTAGCCTTGTGGTTAAAACGTCGAAGATCCTGGTTCGATTCCCCACACGCAGCGTAAATGCAGCGTAAAAAAATGCTCGCTCAGGGACGCTAATAGAACTTTTTCATTTCTAGGAGATTTGTGTGTACAATCACAGCGAATGGCGGGACAAATACGCGAACTTGTTGGGCAAAACTCAAACACTCAAATTAATACTGCTGCTATTGCAAAAATGTATAAATAAAGTAATTACTTTAAAATCCTGACAATTCAAGAATAAACAAAACGACCTAACAAGTGATCAAATATGAAGAAAACAAGTTCCTAAAAAAGCACCTTGTGTATTGTAAGAGATCTGTCGATCAAACAACATTTACAAATTGATTTTGTTTTCAAATTTGTGAACATATACTGTATATATTGGTTCATTAAAACTATACATGCTATTTTGGTTCAAATTTTAGTTCCTTTCATTAATCTGTTTAAGTGAAGCAGAATGAATAATACCTTGATATAAATTGAAAAGCGCACATGCTGCTGTTGAATTTCAAGGTCAGAAATATACCTGTCGTACATCACAAGTCATTGCTAATGTTCTGGTATGAACAGTGTTCCTATAATCGTAACAGCTTATAGAGAGTGAATGAGTTTAGTTTTAAGCCGTTTTTAGCAATATTCCAGCAATATCACGGCGGGGACACCAGAATTAGGCTTCACACACTGTACCCAGGTTGGGAATCGAACCCGGATCTTCGGCATGACGAGCGAAAGCTTTGGACACAAGGCTACCCTAACGCCCTTAAGAACTTATAGACCACCCAACGTCAAGGTACATTACGCAAGATGATATGATATTGAGAGAGTGGGTTAGATTTCAGAAACACATAGGATAATTAAATTTTATTTTACGAAGAATATCGAACAGAAATACAAATTTAACATAGTGTTAGAGCATGTACTCTACACAATTCACGTCGCTTGACCTTCTTTCCTTATATGGCTTAAACACGGACGGACGTAGGCAGGATGTTCAGATGAAGGGTTCGGTGTAGTCAAGGATGATGTGGAGATAGATACCGTCGCCATTGAATTGATATGTGTATATTTCCTAAGGAGGCCTTCCTAAGGAGGATGAAACAGACATTGCGGTACAGATATTTGTTGTAAACAGAAAGCTTGAAATGATGGCTAACAATTATAATGCATGTATTTATACACGAATAGCAGCTTTTACAAAATAAATGTATTAGAAATTTTATCTAAGAAGGACATTTGTGAAAGAACATTTGTCTTTTCTTGGCTAATAAAATTATTTTACAAAGATTCCTTAAGATTACACCTTTTGAAAAGAATAATGCTTGCATCTTGTCCGAAGTTGGATATTCTCAGTGTATATCTTAAATTGTGATAAAATGGGCACTTTAAACCATAGTACTTATTTCGGACAATACAGGATGCACATGATCTTTCTGATCTGGGAATATTCCAACTCCTGTCCGATTCAATTACTAAGTCTTGATTTAAACAACAAAATCGGACGAAATTAGTAAAATAAACTTCAACTGTTACAGTTTCGGGTATATTTGAGTACCTAAACTGATTATGAAGAGTTCTATAGAAATCCAACTTCGCGAAAGCCTCTAAATCTGCACTCCAGCATTGCTACTTAATATCAATATACCTTTAATTAAACTACAGGTGAATAAAACACTATTTCTTACACCTTGTTGTAGCCAAATTTCACCAAAACCATAACTGAATAATAATGATCAAACGTTTAAAGCCCAACAAGACTTGCCATTTTCAGCTTTTCGATATAGAAAATTATAGGAGTGCTTCAAAATCACATTGTCGGCTTGCGACAAATACTTCGTCTCGGCCGATATCAGATTCTTCTAGGTTCATGTAGGAAGCAAATGTACTGTAAGTCCCCATGGTCCCTAGTATGGTGATCTACCTTCAGTTGTTGGCAATCTATAGCCTGTTTTTATATTGTATCGTCTTGTATAGTAAAAATGTTTTATATTTAAGTACTAGTTTTAGTTTTCTATCTGATAATCTATCTGATAATCTAGTTGTTTTACTGTTCTTCGTTGACATATTTGAATAATTTACCTTTAATAAGTTTACTCTATAACTTAATTTAGTCACGATATGGCTGAAATATTGCCAAAGTGACTTAAAATTGTAACTAACTCACTCACTCATTCCCTCAGATTCTTCCATATCTAATGCTTTTCCTGATGGTGTCACTGATTAATTAGACACTCTGTTGTGTAGAAGTATCACAACCCTCTATCTCGTCCCGCACACCCTACAGTATCTCTGACATTGGCATTGTCTCCCACACACTAACAGAGCTTAGATCTGAACAAACTCGTTCAAACGTTGTTGTTTTTTCAAAATATTCAGCCCAAATAAGTAAGGGGTGAAACATTTTAACTCGATTCATAAGCCAATGCCTGATGGAATAATTACACAAGACACGAGAAATGCTGAATGGTAAACTGAATGGGCTCCCACTAATTGTGCCTGTAATAAAATCAAGTGAATGACGACAGACATACAGGTATTGTCCATATTGTCCCTTTTCCAAGCGCACAGATCTTAAACCGTTCAGTATTATTTTTTCGTGCAACTTTGTATACACTTACACTTTGCTTATGACAATAATTTCGACACACACACCCTCATCATCAACCCGACACAACTTCATCACCAACCCCACACCCATCATCATCACCATCCACAAAACGCACTCTCTTCCCCAACCACAAACGCACCCTCATCACCAACCACACACGCACTCTCATAACCAACTACACACGCACTCTCATCATCAACCCCACACCCATCCTCATCACCAACACCACAAGCATCCTCATCACCAACCACAGACGCACCCTCAAAACCAACCACACATGCACCCTCATCACCGACCCCACACCCTCATCACCCCACACCACACGCACCCTCATCACCAAACCCACACCCATCCTCATCACAAACCCCACATACACCCTCATCACCAACCACAAACGCACCCTCATAACCAACCACACACGCATCCTCATCATCAACCCACACCCATCATCATCACCAACCACATACCCTCATCACCAACCACACACGCACTCTCATCGCCAACCACACACGCACTCTCATCACCAACCACACACCCATCATCACTACCAACCACACACGCATCCTCATCATCAACCCCACACCCATCATCATCACCAACCACACACACCCTCATCACCAACCACACACGCACTCTCATCGCCAACCACACATGCACTCTCATCACCAACCACACACCCATCATCACTACCAACCACAAACGCCCCTCATCACCAACCACACACGCACTCTCATCACCAACCACACACGCACTCTCATCACCGAACCCACACCCTCATCACCCCACACCACACGCACCCTCATCACCCCACACCACACGCACCCTCATCACCAACCCCACATCCATCCTCATCACCAACCCCACACGCACCCTCATCACCAACCACAAACGCACCCTCATAACCAACCAAATACGCACTCTCATCACCAACCACACACGCACTCTCATCACCGACCACACACGCACCCTCATCACCAACCACACACGCACTCTCATCACCAACCACAAACGCCCCTCATCACCAACCACACACGCACTCTCATCACCAATCACACACGCACTCTCATCGCCAACCACACACGCACTCTCATCACCAACCACACACCCATCATCACTACCAACCACAAACGCCCCTCATCACCAACCACACACACACCCTCATCACCAGCCACACACGCACTCTCATCGCCAACCACACACGCACTCTCATCACCGAACCCACACCCTCATCACCCCACACCACACGCACCCTCAACACCCCACACCACACGCACCCTCATCACCAACCCCACACCCATCATCATCACCAACCCCACACGCACCCTCATCACCAACCACAAACGCACCCTCATAACCAACCACACACACACTCTCATCACCAACCACACACGCACCCTCACCACCAACCACAAACGCCCCTCATCACCAACCACACATGCACTCTCATCACCAACCACCCACGAACTCTCATCACCCCACCCCACACGCACCCTCATCATCAACCCCACACCCATCATCATCACCATCCACACACGCACCCTCATCACCAACCACAGACGCACTCTCATCACCAGCCACACACGCACTCTCATCACCAACCACACACCCATCATCATCACCAACCACAAACGCACCCTCATCATCAACCCCACACGCACTTTCATCACCAACCACAAACGCACTCTCATCACCAACCACACACGCACCCTCATCACCAACCCCACATGCACTCTCATCACCAACCACACACCCATCATCATCACAAACACAAACGTCCCTCTTCACCAACCACATACGCACTCTCATCACCAACCACACACGCACTCTCATCACCAACCACACACGCACCCTCATCACCAACCCCACACCCATCCTCATCACCAACCACACACGCACCCTCATCACCAACCCCACACCCATCATCATCACCAACCATACTTTCAGGTATAAACCCGCATGATGGTCCACATGCAACAAGGTGGAATTTTAGTAAGGCCAACTGGCCATTATTTCAGAAACTGTGTACTGACAACATGAAATCTGGCTTTTCTACGAATGCCCTAGATCCGATTCAGTTATTCTCAAGAATATTGCTGATGAAACTATTTCTAAGACCTCTGCAATTCCACATATCCGTAAATCATGGTTTAATGATGACTGTAAACAGGCCAGAAAGAAATAGTAAGAAGGCAGAAAAATATTTTCGCCGACATCTCCTGTCCATAATTTCGATAAAGTTAAAATTTTAAATGCCAAGGCTCGACGCGCCTTTAAACAGAATAATCGTCAGTTTCGGCGAAACTGTTTCCAAAATAAACTCACGCACACCTTTTTCAAAGGTGTGGAACATGATTCAACGAATAAAAGGCAAAGGTTCCAAATCTACTGTCCACCATCTGAAGGATGGTAACAATATATTGACGGGTAAGGCTGACATTGCCAATAAGCTTGGTGAAATTCTCGCCAAGCATTGTCTTCATCAAATTATGTCCCGGAGTTTCAGAAACATCAGAAACAAAAGGAGAAGAACAGAATTAATTTTAACTCGGACAATGGTGAAGATTATAATGAATTATTTTCACTGCATGAGTTATATACTGCCCTTGAGCAAGCTCATGACACAGCAGCAGGAGCTGATAACATACACTATCAGCTCTTAAAACATTTACCTGAATCGTGTTTGAAAACACTTCTAAATATCTTTGATCAAATATGGACTTCAGGGAATTTCCCAACTTCTTGGCGTAATGCCATTGTTGTCCCAATACCAAAGCCTGGCCGGGATCATACTGATCCATCAAATTACAGGCCAATCTCTTTAACGAGTTGTGTTTGTAAAACCATGGAACGAATGGTAAACAATAGATTAACATGGTATCTTGAAACCAATAACCTTATAACAGATATTCAATGTGGTTTCAGGTAAAATCGTAGTGCCATTGATCATTTGGTACGATTGGAATCCTTTGTTAAAAATGCTCTAGTAAATAAGCAACATGCTGTATCAATATTCTTTGATCTCGAGAAAGCATACGATACAACCTGGAAGCATGGCATTTTAAAGGATTTACATGATTTTGGTTTGAGGGGTCGTTTACCTCTTTTTATATCACAGTTTTTAACAGACCGGCAAAGTCCAAGTGGTTTCAACCCTGTCTGACCATTACAATCAGGATCAGGGTGTTCCACAAGGCAGTATGTTACCTGTCACACTCTTTAGTATAAAGATATAGAGTTTATCAAAAGATTTAAGTGATTCAATCGATAGATCACTTTGTGTGGATGATTTTAATATTTCTTGTCGCGGTAAAAATATGCATACTATTGAACGGCAACTGTAGTTGTGTTTAAACAAAATAAATAAATGGTGTCTTGAAAACGGCTTTAAATTTTCTAAATCTAAAACTAATTGTATACATTTGTGTAGAAAATATAAACCGCATAAAGACCCTGTACTATTTCTAAATGGCTCTCCCATCAAAGTTGTTAAGGAAGCCAAGTTCTTGGGTTTAATTTTTGACTCACATTTAACTTTTCTTCCACATATCAAGTCCCTAAAAACTACATGCCTGAAGGCACTTGACTTGTTGAAAGTCGTTTCCAGATCTAAGTGGGGAGGGGATCAAGCTACCCTCCTCCATCTATATCGATCACTGGTCCGTTCCAAACTTGACCATGGCTCCATCGTATATGGTGGAGCCTGCAAAAGCAACCTAAAACATTTAGATTCTGTTCACCACCAAGGCCTAAGACTTTGTCTTGGCACCTTTAGAACTTCACCTATTGACAGCCTCTACGTCGAGGCTGATGAGCCATCTCTTAACCAACGCCGTATAAAATTAACTTTACAGCATATAACTAAACTATATTTCAACGAGTCAAACCCTGCATATAACTGTGTATTTAATCCCCTCTATGAGGATCTGTATAACAAGAAGACTTGTTCCGCCTCTTGGTATATCATAAAAGCGAAACCTTTCCTTATTGCTGCTGGCATCGAGCGAGAAAATATAGCTCCTTCCCGTCTTCTTTCTTCTCCTCCTTGGCAATTGGTGAGGCCACAAGTTGACCTAACATTGACAACATTAAAAAAATCAGAAACTAATGAACTACAATACAGACAAGAATTTTATCAATTAAAAGCTAAATATAATACATACAAATCCTTATTTACAGATGGGTCCAAGGATGGTGGCGCAGTGGCTTGCGCCACTGTCATTGGATTCAGAACAGTATCTTCTCGATTACCAGATCCCAGTTCAATTTTCACAGCAGAAGGAAACGTCATATTAACAGCCTTAAAATATATTCAACAATATATAATCTATTCGTATTCTCTTTCATGCCTTCAGGCTATTAAAAATCTTTCTTGCAAACATCCACTTTTAATTGAAATTATTGAATTATATAATGATCTTGCTACTGGCCAATACGACATCGTCTTTTGTTGGTTACCCAGCCACGTTGGCATTTCTGGGAACACAATGGCTGATCTTGTTGCTAAGGCAGCACTCAACAAATCTATGACACCACTTCTTATCCCATACTCTGATTATAAAGCTGTCATCAGATCTTATATCCGTGATCTAATGCAGAAGAAGTGGGACACCCAAGTAGGTATAAATAAATTACATGCAATAAAACCCTATGTTGGTTACACCTACTTGGGTTGTCAGTCTAGATTTGAAGAGGTCATCATACGACGATGTCGTATTGGCCACACAAGATATACACACGAATATATGCTTAAAGGTGAGAATCCTCCGTTTTGTATCCCTTGTGATGAAACAATCACGTTCAAGCATGTCTTACTTGAATGCATTGAATATTCTATTACAGGGGAAACTATTTCAAATCACGAACTATGAAGGATCTTCATGTCCAAAAAGTTTAAAGCTGAATTTAAGCTTACATGATTTTTAAACGTAGTATATTTGTTCTTTTGAAATTTGGCTAAACTTTTCCTACAATCGCCAGCGGCTGAAGGAATGGTGTAAATCCAGCTAGGGTCCATGCAGGTAGCAAAGGCACTGTAAGTCCCCATGGACACTAGTATGGTGATCTTCCTTCTGTTGTTGGCGATCTATAGCCTGTTTTTTATATTGTATTGTCCAAATGGTGCTATTAGTTTTTAACTTTCCACGCTAGTTTTAATTCTAATTGTGATATTCTAGTTGTTTTGCTGTCCTTCGTCGACAGGTTTTTATACTTTAATTCCATTTCAATGTCAAATATGTTCTCGTCATGATATGGCTGAGATATTGCCGATGTGACGTTTAATATTAAGTCATTCACTCACTCATCACGAACCACAAACGCACCCTCATCACCAACCACACACGCACCATCCTCACCAACCACACACACACCCTCATCAACAACCCCACACCAATCATCATCACAACCACAAACGCACCGTCATCACCAACCACACACCCATCATTATCACCAACCACAAACGCACCCTCATCACCAACCACATATGCACTCTCATCACAACCACACACGCACTCTCATCACCAACCCCACACGCATCCTCATCAGCAACCCCACACCCATCCTCATCACCAACTACATACGCACCCTCATCATCAAACACCCCCCCACACTTATCAACAACCCCGCACCCATCCTCATCACCAACCCCACACCCATCCTCATCACCAACCCCATACGCACCCTCACCACCAACCCCAGACGCATCCTCATCACCAACCACACACCCGCTCTTTAGTGATCGGGGGTTCGTCCACTTCAGAGACTGCCAAAGACTTTGAGAATGTCTGTTAATAGACGTTCGTACGTTGCCATGGATTTCCATTTCATCAAACTTAACTTGTAACCAAATCGAATGCATCGTTCGAACATGCAGTATATGCAAAAGAAGCTCAAGAGGTGATTTATTAACCCCCAAAAGCATTTGTGATACATAACACATATAAAAACGAGTCGGCCCCTCGACACCCTTCTCCTTCCATTGCGTAACTTGTCTCCAATGTTAATTCAATATATATTTCCTCAATTTATTAGGGTCATCCAAAACGCAACTTCGGGAGATGTGCCGCACGGCTCAACTTTATGACAGTAGCAACAGATCAAACACAGTTCGCTGTCTTCTGGCCAAAGTTCTTCCAGAAATCTTTGCAAAGAAGAACATACCTGCAATTGCTGAACTCTTGGCAGTTCCAGTTTCTGTGATACAGAATAAAGTTCTTACTAAACTAAGGGACATCCTACTTTCAACTAAACCCGAAGATATTGATCGTTCTGATCTTCAGTCAGCTGAAAAGGCTCTGTTTGAACGCTGTCTGACAAGGACTGGTTTCCTACAACCAGAGTTCCTGCCTACTTTGATCTGCACGTACCTTCTGACTCTCGTCTATTTGGTTGTGTCACAAGGCAGTGATTATTCACAACTAGATTCCACGATCCAACGGATACAGCAATACATTTCAAAGAAAAAAACAGGCAACTCATATATTGTTGATGACATAAGTCTTTTTGTTGATGACATCCAAAAACGTATTGATGACATTGACAAAGCAGTGACAACAATTGGAACGAATCGGAAGCACCTTTCCCCCGTGAAGAAGAAGTCTTGGCCGATTCATTTTTCTATGGTTTTGGGAACACTTATTGAGGTAAAACAAGAACCTGAGTGTAACATTTGATAAACAATTTCTATTTTCAAAACTCTTCATATTATCTTCAAGTTTAATAAATTGTGAAATTTGTTTCTACCATACATATTGAGTGTACAAACTTGCTTTTGTGTGTCAACTAAGCTAAAATTATGTCAGCTATAGTTTTGATAAAAGGTTAACCGAGTAATACATTATAGTATGACCAGAAATTATTGAGAATTTTAGGAATATGTCTAATTGGATTTCTAGTATAAACAGCCTTGACCAGCTATCATGTGCTTGGTTTCATTCAAGACTGACAACTCCGTTAATCCTTTTTCATTAGTTTGTGAAGAGGTATCCCCCTTTGTTTACTTGCTAGCAGACGACATTTTCAGTGATCCTCAGTATGGATGATTTAGAGAAGAGGAAGTTGATTTTAGAGTATTATAACAAGGACATCAGATCAGCTAAAGTGATTTCAAGTAGAACAGGCATCCCTTTGTCCACTGTCTATCGTGTTTTGAAAAATATTGCAAATGGATATGGCATTGAGCACCAGGGAGGCACAGGTAGGCCCAGAAAATTGACTGTCGGTGACAGGAGGCGGCTTTGTATTCTTGTTTCTAAAAACAAACGAAGGAGTTTAGAAAACTTAAGGCTGGATACGTTTGATAGAGGAACTGTGGCTGTCTGTAAGGAGACAATTAGAACTGAGCTGCATGCAATGGGTTGGCAGAAAACTCGAGGAATTCCATCACCGATCATGAAACCTGAACAAAAGGAGCAAGGTTGAACTGGTGCTTAGAGCATAGACATTTTAACTGGGACAATGTGATTTTCTCAGATGAAAGTTGTGTGTAGCTGATTCCTAAAACACTGAAATTCTGGACCAAACAAACTGAAAAACCTTTTTGTCAGCGCCCAAAGTACAGTCCGAAATTTAACGTGTGGGGTGGCATTTTTGTGTTAGGGGCAACGCCCCTCTGTGTATTTGAAGGGAATATGAACAGTGAGCGGTACACAGATATTCTGGAGGGACATTTACTTCCATCTGCTCACGTGTTCTATGGAAATATTTGGATTATCCAGCAGGACAACGACCCAAAACATCATTCAAAGCATTCACAGGCCTGGTTTCAGACCTAAAATATGACATTATTAGATTGGCCAAGCTACAGCCCTGACCTAAATCCAACAGAAAATGTTTGGGGACTTATGAAGGAAATTGTCAATAAGAAAAATCTGACAAATATTGCTGAAATGAAAGAAGAGGTGGTCCGATATTAGGACAGCATGGACCACGACTTTCACACTTCTTTGATCAGTAGTCTGCCCCGCTGCATTGAAGCCTGCATTGCTGCCCATGACTTGACAAAATACTAACTGTTCACATGTCTTTGAATCTGGAGTTATGTACTGCTAATATTCACATTTAATACGTGAGCAATGAGTGAAAAAAAATACAATTATAATCTTTAAATTCTCAATAATTTCTGGTTGTACTGTACAAGGGTTCATGTTAAATTTGATCAACGTATCTTCTGTATGTTTGTCTGTTTCTACCGTAGCTTTCTTGAAACTTTAATTGTAAATACCCACCATGAATGAATTTTATGCCCCATTCATAATATAAACATCCGCATTGCCTTTTACTCACAGTTGAATAGTTTCTGTAGATTTGTCTGGCGTTGAAACTAAACATCTAATCCCTTAAATGACGAAACGCCAACCCATTATCACGTCACATTTAAAAAGTGAAGTAAAGTCACACTGACATGCTTTGAAGTCTACTAATTTGCTTTCCCACTTTGTACTATTCCACTTTTGTTGCTTGAATAATTGTTCCACACGATTCGGTGCAAAATATATCGTTAAAACATTGCTTCTTGCAACAGGTGTTTCACGGCGACCCCCAGACGGCCATTGCGGCCTTGGACACTCTTCCACTGCTGCTTAAGCCAGGCAAACCCAGTGTAAAGAACGTGTTGCAAAAAACCAAACCGCACGAGAGAGTCATACAGATGGTCTCAACTGGAATGGTTGCATACCTGACTGCCTTGGGTAAGAATCTGACAAATGATGTAAAGTATGGTTATGATACAAATGATGTTAAGTATGGATATGATTTAATATTGTTTTGTTTAGATTTTTAATTACAAGTCAGTAGTCAAAAAGGTTTAAATTCGGTTTGATTTCAATAGTTCATTGCAACCAAACACTGCGGGGATTTGCACATTATAAATGGCGCATTTCAGTTGAATTATTGTAACACCGTTGACAGGAGTGGTGGGTTGGTGTTTAACGCCGCTCACAGCAATATTCCAACTATATGGCGGCAGTCTGTAAATAATCGAGTCTTGACCAGACAATCCAGTGATCAACGGCATGGGCATAGATCTACGCAGTTGGGATACGATTTACATGTGTCAACCAAGTCAGCGAGCCTGACCACCCGATCCCGTTAGTCGCCTCTTGCGACAAGCTTTGCTGGAGTCAAATTCTAACCCGTATCTTCACGGGTCTCATTTACAGGAGATACAGTAGGCGAGGACATAGAAGATCGTGCCAAATCTGCTTTCACAGCTCTTGGATTGTCACTAAAGTACTTGGACAGAAGTATGTTCGGTATGGCGAGATGTTTGCTGTTTTCACAAAGTCCAGTAATCAGACAAGGTGCCATGACCCTGTGGAAAGATGCCAATGATGAAACAACTGAATGTTTAATGGTGTCAGAGGTTCTGAAACACCTACAGCCAATCAGCATCAACCTCCGGCACAAACAAACAACGGACCATTCCACCAGCAGTACCAAGTGGAAATTAGCTTCTACTCGAATTGGTACAGACAAAATCATGATTCACGTCAATTTACCATCAGGTATGTAACTAGGCGATGCCAATTTTAGTTGGGGCACAGCTAACAGTGCTTTGGATTAAAATGAGAGAAAGTTGGTTTCACGAATGATCAAAATAATTCGCACACAATGTGTGTTCTCTTCGTGATTTTTAGACTATCTTGCTATGTTGTAAGACAGATAGAAAACTTGGAGCTAGTTTGGGCTCAGCCAAACTTTAACTCTACCTTATTGGGACAGCCTTTATCTACATTTCAGTTTATGTGATCGGACACTTTTATGGTTTAGTTACATAAACAGTGGATAAAATATTTTTCAATTTTCTAGAGAAACGAAGCAAGAATAGTCTGTCGGAATGTGGTCATCTCACAACAGTCGAGATTCTGAGAGCTCTGTCAACACACCCGCATATTCTGTCTATGTGGGCATACAGAATCGACCAGTTCCCTGTGTTCTACATCACTGATGATTACAGTCAACACAACTTCCAGGAGGTGCTTTATTATAGTGCCAAGGACGAGGCATGGTTTCAACCTCTTGAGCTCATGCAGTTTCTTATACAAGCTCTGGAAGCAGTTATCGCCCTTCATGAACATGGCGTTATACAAAGAGATCTTACAGCTGCCAGTTTTGCATACGACAAACAAAGCAAGTCAATCAAGCTATGCCGCTTCATGTTGGCGCGAAAATGTGGACGAGAAGAAACTGTTGTCGGTATGTCTATTAACTAATTTTGCTTGTGACATTTCATTATGAAGCATGGTCAATTAAATTTTAAATTGTCATATCATATGACGATGTAATTTTTAGGCATTTCATTATTTGTTAAACTCATCTAAAATGTGATGTCCCATGTGATGACTGACTTTCCTGTTAGACAGAGAATGTTTGTCCATTCCCATGAGATGGTCTGCCCCAGAGTCTCTCAAGCGACATCACTTCTCTATGCGGTCTGATTACTGGATGGTTGGACATCTCATCTATGAAGTCATCACACACGGCTGCCTCCCCTACTCAGATCTCGAAGGGCAAAATGAATACACCATTGAAAAACTGGTAAATATTTGGATACGCTCATGTAAATTGGATTTACAGATGGATTTTTGTACTGAAAGTAAACATGGCAGCTATTCATCTTCATAATGATCATATGATCCAGTGATCCACAATGAGTTGTCGTGAAGTCAACTTCGGGTGTCACCCGCAGCGATATTGCTGGGATATTGCTAAAGGCGGTGTAAAAATAAACTCACTCACTAACTAACTATGAGTTGAGTGACAATGGTTTTTAGCAATATTCAAGCAATATCAGGGTGAGGGACACCAGAAATGGGCTTCACACACTGTACCCATGTGGGAAATCGAACCTGGTTCTTCGGCATGACGAGCGAACGCTTTAACTGCTATGCTATCCCACCGACCCTATGAGTTTTCAACAGTTCTCACAAGATCGGTTTTGGTGTGACCTGACACCAAAGGACTGAGGTTGACTCATTCTTTGTTTCATTCTGAATCATCAGGCTTTTCCACATTTATAATAATGTTGTTGATGGCAAGTGACAAATAGAATCGCGTTATAATAAATTGTCCCGTTTTGTTTAGAAAGTGTCCAGACACGAAATGCTTATCGTGTTCCAGATAAAGGAAAACAAAAAAAAGTTACTCCAAGAAAGATGCATCCCAACATCCGTGTTTGACGTCATCCAAAGTTGCACTAGTTTTGATGACACACATCGGATGTCGGTGTGTGAAGCAAAAAGCAGACTGGAGGAGACCTACGATCGTTACGAAGACTGCAATGGTAAACCAAATAACATTCTTCTTCTGATGAAAGTTTACTGTTAAATCCCGCGTAATTCCTGTTGTTCAGAAAGCCGTGAAGATCCGTTTGGAATAGGTCTTCAGTAACACGCTTGTTATAAGTGAGTGAGTGAGTTAAGATTTTAAGTCACATCGGCAGTATTTTAGCCATATCGTGTGCTTATCATATGAGACAACTAACGGGACACGTCATCGTATCACAAATGCGTAGATCGATGCTCATGCTGTTGGTCACTGGATTGTCTGGTCCAGACTCGATTATTTACAGATCATCGCAATATTACTGGAATATTGCTGAGTGAGGCGGCAAACAACCAACCAACCAATCTTTCAGCTCAAATTTCATATAATTATGGAAAAGATCTCTTTTACCTGTTTTACTTTGCCTGTTACTGACTTCAGCCATTGTGTTATTATAGAGCTTCCTAACAGGATAACTTCAGTAACACCTGATGTTTTGTTTCCTGGACTTGACAGAACATCATTTCAACATCTCCAGAATGAAGTAGGTACCATATTTATTTTCATTTCTGTAATTTATAATAGACGACAGAAGTAAATGTTTTGCTTATAAGCAGTGCAAATCTAATAGTTGTGCTGTTGTGGGTCGTCTACTTCGGAGGATTATGTTTTAATTTTATTTCCCGGACTTGACAGAAATGCTTTCAACATCTCCCAGATGAAGTAGGTGATATTTTTTTCTATTTATCTAATATATAATGGACTATAAAAGTCACCTTTTGCTTATAAGCAGCACAAATCTAATAATTGTCCTGTTGAGTGTCTTCTACATTCGGATTATGTTTTAATTTAATTTAATCCAAAAAAAGTTTATTATGCGGATCAAATAAACCTAAAGGAAGTATCAATGCAGCCGTTATTTACAATTTCTAATTATTACATTGTTTACACTCTAGCTCAAGATATTATCGATCAAAAATGAAACAACACGATCAAATTGGGACATTAACAAGACAAATGTTTTGTTTTTCAGGGTCCGGATTATGGTATGTTGTGATTTTGATATATTGTGATATTTACATATAGACCTAGGCAGTTTCAGGTTCATATCTTACATTTACTTCATAAAGCTATCAAGCACTTTGTAGTTTCCAAATAAAGTTTTTGTAATCGATCAGTTTAGTCATTTTGAATACAGTATCGTAAATAGCAATATAGAAAATGCTTTTAGCTTGTATGTTGAATAGTTAATAGAAAACAGTTAATAAAACAGGTATTTTGAGAATGAGCCCGTACATGTGAGTTTTAGGTTTTCTAACAAGATTATGACTCATGATCCAATATTTTAGAATAATATACTCTTAAAAAACGTAGGGAAACTTACGTTTTTAAATTTTTAATTTACGATTGAAATATATTGGGAAATTTATTGAGTCAATCAGTGTTGATATTACTGACTGACTGAGTTTGGTTGTACGCCGCTTTTAGCAATATTCCAGCAATATCACGGCAGGGGACACCAGAAATGGGCTTCACTCATTGTACCCATGTGGGGATTCGAACCCGGGTCTTCGGCGTGAAGAGCCAACGCTTTAACCACTAGACTACCCCACCGCCCCCAGTGTTGATATGATAACAATGAATGTTTTGAGAGTGCATCACCACTTGCACTTCCTTATGACCATAGTTGTTTGTACAGTAATCGCTCTTGAAAGATGATTGGTGTGACGTTAAATTTGCATGAGTACAATTTTTCTTTTACCGGCTAGAAACCAACACTAACAACTGTGTGATGCAAGAGGATTGTCAAAATTAATGGTGATTTATCGACCTTCTTGGAAACCGTCAAAATCAAGAATGACACCCCATGCACGTGTATGGGGCAATTCGTTGTGCACGTGCATCCCGTGCATTGTGTTTAGGGGTGGAGATAAAGAGAAATGGTAGTGCGTTCATAAGATGTCTGTCTTTGAAATGTTTGTTAACGCTTATACTTCCTATCCAAATCAAAAGTTGAGGGTCCCCTACATATCATTGATATTTTCGCGAACACCTGGTATCACCCGTATTTGACAGTGCGTCATAAATATGCTTATGATTAATTTGGAATTGCACAGTGTACTCAACTTTTAGGGAAGTAATCACTGTTGGGATTTACTTCACACATTATCATTTAGAGCGTGCGTCAGTTTGATAATTTCACCTGAAGCTCTCAATTATCTTGAATTACCTGTCATGTAATTACCTTGGATCTTACCTTTTTAACGTATCTTGCAGGCGAGTGTGTTTATTACGGCTTCCGAAACTTGGAAAGTACTCCCGACATGAATGATGACCCGTATGAAGAATTTGGAGTAATGGATGGTGTATATTTTCCGGTATGGCAAATTTTCGCATCACTCTCCTCCATATATAGCTCGATGTAAATTTTACATTTTGAGCAGAGTGGCATTCTTCCATGTCCATACTGTTAGTGAGTGAGTTTGACGCCGCTTTTAGCAATATTCCAGCAATATCACAACAGGGACAACGGAAATAAGCTTTACACACGGTACCCGTATGGGGAATCAAACCCGGGTCTTCGATGAGACGAGCGAACGATTTAACCAAGAGGCTACCCCACCGCTCCTCCTGTATTTTACTAGTTCCATCTTACTTAACAAGGGTTGACAACATGTACGGACACTGTGTTGAGCTTCCGATTTCTCATCTGTCGTATCTGTCCTAATTTTCAACTGTAATTTAGCAGTCATTTTTTAAAACATTAAATACACACCTGGGTCCCTTTCCTAAAAGCGACCTTAACGCCACGATGATCGTAAACCTATGTTAAAGTACTGGGTCCCGATCCACAAAGCGTTCGTAAAGTACGAACTCTCTTAACTATATAGTTTTCCATAGGTTTACGAATGACGTAGTGCTACGAAGACTTTGTAGATCGGGCCCCTGGATTCACGACTACTTCAGTGCTCTCTCTTATCTTATCTTACGATATTTACCTATGGTAAATGCTCACTTGAAACAGAGACTTTAAAATGACTAATATTATTCCCTTATATTTATCATAGCTTGTTTCAAGTCAGAGGATGGACAAACTGCTCCGACGTTTGACACAAAAAGAGGAGTCACAGTTGAACACAGAAAGCATCCCAGGAATATACAGCCGTGTAGAAGTTGTGGAAAAGAATCAAACAGAATACCTGGTAGGTTTGTTAGCTTCTACTAACTACATACGGATTGTGGTTTAGCTTAGGTGTTTAAGCGTTTGCTCATTGGTACGGGTTCGATTCCCCACATCGCGATTTTATACAATCTGTGACTTATCATTCGATGAATGCAAACAAACAATCCTTAAACATGAAAGTTGTTACCAATGATATTTTACACTCTACCATGACTTCAGTAATACTGGATTGTGATTGGTTAATTAAAATCATTCAGAGGTATGTAATCACATTATATGCCTCTGATTTTCCAACACAATATGTATTTTTGTAAAATCTTAAAAACGCATGTGTCAATTGGTTACTAGATCGATGCTGATGTTTCACTGTGTGGTTTTCACTGGTATGTATATTACATGTTCGATGTCTTCTTTGATGTCGCCTCTATTGATTCGCGTTCATCGTGTAACAACATTTGTAGCAAAGGTAAAATTCAATGAACAGGTGTACAACTTCCCAGCTAGAGACTGGGTTTCCTTGAACAACGTGGTGGACGTAAAGAGGTTCGGCCTCTGGTCTGTGGAGTACATTCGCTGTTTGAGTGCAGTAGCAAAGACGTTGTCTCTTCTACATGAGCGAAAATGGGTCCACGGTTGTCTGAGTACAGATAACATATGGATATCTGATACTGAAGGTGAATGCAAGGTAGGTCATGTACTCTCTCTCTCTCTCTCTCTCTCTCTCTCTCTCTCGCTCTCTCTCTCTCTCTCGTGGCGAGCGACCGCTTAAATCAACGGGCTACCCCTCTGATTCAATCTTGATCTTGAAAGAAATAACCCCATTGTCTGCTCTGAGTACATAGTCATCAAACATCCCTCTGCCCGACACAGGTATACTTCTCCGACCTTGGGTACATACGAAGATCATGTGACACTGAGGATGGGGTGATTACTGATGAAAGTTTTGTTGTACCACAGGATGAACATGTGTACAGAAGGTAGGTTCTGGGACTAGATTAACGCGTCATACCAAAAGACGTTAAAATATGGTACTTGTTGGTCCCTGCCTGGCGTTCGGCATTGATGGGTACAACAAGGACTGGTCGGCTCGGAGTCAGTATAATGTGTCCGAGTGGGGTATTCATGCTTCACTGCGGCATGGTATCTCAGTGGGCTAGCACTTTAAAACCAGCTTCAGTCTGGGCTAGTACAAGCAGCCGCACATACGCATACGCATGTACGTCGTCATATGAGCGAAATATTCTCAAGCACGACGTTAAACCCAATTTCACCTCACCTTTAACCACAGAGCTACCCATTAGCCCCTTTAAATGAGTTATACAGATGGATTGAATGGACCGTATTTTTGCACACGGATTGATGAAAGACAGCTGATTATTGTACGTCTTTAATATGATTATTGGTAATATATAGAATAACCCATGACGTACGAATGATTACTGAATACAGGTCACGAGTAAAATTAATGTTTTAGGTTCCGCGGATTGGCGAAAACTTAAGAATATTTTTGCTAGAGTGCGTAGGTATAAGTTCACTCGTGACATATTTTTCGTAATAGCTAAAGCTCGAAACCGAAAACATTAGTGTCACTTGTTACATTATTTCCGTAATCACGCATGCCACGTTGATCATTCTTTCGAGGCGGTGGGGTAGTCTAGTGGTTGAAGCGTTGGCTCGTCACGCCGAAGACCCGGGTTCGAATCCCCACATGGGTACAATGAGAGAAGCCCATTTCTGGTGTCCCCCGCCGTGATATTGCTGTTATATTGCTAAAAGCGGCGTAAAACCAAACTCAGTCAGTCAGTCAGTTGATCATTCTTTAAGTGGTAGACGGCTCTCACTTGCATTAATTTTCCTTCCTCTCACATTCGGTTGATAGGCTATTGTATCGCTGACATATTGTTCAAGGCGACTTGTAGCTCATTCGCACACAAAAAGAAATAGTTTGATGTAGCTTCGTCTCCACTAACACATTTTTGATTTTTTTCCCCGCCAGATCACCCCCTGAGGTATTACGAAACGGTACCTACTCCTGGGCGAGTGATGTCTTCAGTTTCGGCCTTATCTTGTGGAATGGTTTCTTTAAGTTTGGATCTTTCCACTATGAAAACACACTGGAGAGAATTCCGAAGAACAAGGTAACTTCATTTATTGCCACAGTTTTTTGGTTCGAATCAAATATGCTTTGTTCTCTAAACCTTTATCCTAGTGAGTTGTAGCACAGTTGTAAAAGTCATCGACCTGATTTTCTCAGATATTCACTTGACATACATTAGTTTGGTTTAGTTGGTGTTTAACGCCGCTCTCGGCAATATTCCAGCTATATGGCGGCGCTCTGTAAATAATAGAGTCTGGACCTGACAATCCAGTGATTAATTGCATGAGTTTCCATCTACGCAATTGGGATACGATGACATGTGTCATCCAAGTCAACGAACCTGACCATCCGATCACGTTAGTCGCCTCTCACGACAAGCATGGGTTACTAAAGATCAATTCTAACCCGGATCTTCACGGATGGCTGCTCTTGTGGACTCAAGTAAAGAGAAACACAACGATAAAGGCTGTTGGCGAACTCTTTGTCTATAGACGTGCGAATTTTTACCATTAAAATTACATGAAATAATTGCTCTTAAACTAACGCAAAGCATTCTTCTTTCTCCATCATTGTGTCCTACGTCTGTAGGGCACAAGTGCTCAAAGAAAATGTTCTTAAACGTATATATTTTTTTCACTTAGAAGCAGCATAATCTGTGCACGTGTACACAGGATATTGTGGGTTTTTTTTGTTTTACGCCGCACTCAGCAATATTCAAGCTATATGGCGGCGGTCTGTAAATAATAAGTCCGGGGCAGACAGTGATCAACAGTATGAGCATCGATCTATGCAATTGGGATACGATGGCAAATGTCAACCAAGCCAGCGAGTCTGACAATCTTACGACAAGCATGGGTTACTGAAGACAAATTCTACCCCGAATCTTCACGGATTTCGAAATTAAACACCAAGCGCTCAAAAAAAAAAAACCTCAACCATCCACCCGGCCCTCCATCCAGTAACGTGTTCTTGTTGTTACAGCTGTATGAGTATCTGACTACTACACCTGGACATCAGATTCTCCCGAAACCTGCTAAGTGCCCGGATGCAATCTACTCCCTCATGTGTGTCTGCTGGAACCCTGCACGACATGAAAGACCACGAATGAGTGCTGTTCGACAGAAACTATCGGAAGCTATGAGGTGAATATCAAGCTGGTTTTAGTTTAGTTCAAAGTTTGTCATTCAAATCCACATCATCATTACTCATATAGGTGAGTGTGTGAGTTAATATTTAAAGTCACATCGGCAATATTTCAGCCATATCGTGACTAATTACTCATTTAAAGGGGTGGTGGGGAGCCCAGTGGTTAACGCGTTCGCCGGTCACTAATTATTGAAATAAATAGCATTATTCTAAATAATGAACATGTTTTGCCTCTTCTACACCTATCATTTAAAGAAAACTCCAAACATTTTACATTATACGTTGTGTTTCTTTCAGAGAAGTGCCTCTTAGCAGCCATCCAGATACATACGCTTCTCCAGATAATAAGGGGCAACCACTTGAAGATCATTATTATAAAAAACTTATGCCCAAAGTTTCTGACTACGAGAGTTGCACAGAATATTTCTTACAACGTCAGCTGTCGCTCTCGGAAGAGTCCTCCTTGCAATGTGATGGACCACGCTCATCCGTTGCTTCATCTTCGCAGGTCGGTGGAAGCACTGATGTTTTGCTTGACAGTGAAACGAGTTTAAAATCGGAAGAAAGACAAACCTTCAAAATTTCAGCGAGTACCAATAAACCCAGCTTTGAACCGGACGATTTCACAAGCAATGAGAACAGCTGGAAAGACATACATTTACAGAAGTTCCTTGAGGCATCCATCCAGGTAACATCGTCAAAACGATCGGGATCAAGCTCCTTACAGAAATTGACATCTTTGGATCGATCTAAATGTCTCTCACTTCCAATAGAAAAGATTTCCATGAGTAGCAAAGATACCTGTTATAAAAAGTTAACTGAATCAATGAACAGAGTTGAGTTGAAGAAAAGGAAAGGCAAACCAAGTATCCCTCCAAAGCCAAAACATCTGCTTAGCAAAACATATGATGCATCCTTGGGGGAAGATGATCCATGCAGGTTATGTTCAAGTGATGATCATACATATGAAAAGGTTTCAAAACCTGTAAGTTCGGGTACTGAATTGTCTTCCAGAAACAGACCAGAATCACAGCAACAGGTAAACCAAATTGAGCTTAATAAGCCCAGCACTACGCCACACTGGCTGGCAAATGCCAATAAAAGTCCCCCACCTGTACCACAGCGTCCAGCGCCACAACTGAAGAGTAAAACTAGCACATGATGCACCAGTTGAGGACGACCCTCCATATGTACAATTAAGTACATGTTCTTGTTCCATAAACTTCATTCTACTGCAATTCATATGCTCTTCATTAAGCTGCATCAAGTATACATGGTCCAAATGCAAATCGATTTCAAATGAGCATTGATAAATGAAGGAAGGAAGAGTAAAGGAAGGAAGAGTGAAGGAAGGAATTAATGAATATCTTAATCTGCTCCAGACAATTCAGAAGATTCGCAAAGCATCTAAGAGTATGTAATTATTTACATACAAATTCATCATACACATAAATGACAAAGGTGGTAACAGTGCGAAATGTTACATAAATACTGTGATGTGAAATCTATTAGGGCAAGGTCAGTGTCATCTGCACAGGACAGAATGATCTTCCATTTAGTGACCAACCATTATTCATATATAACAGGATGTTTTTGAAGATGAAGTCGACTGGAACAAAATGTGCTGAGGGAAGGAATACCTCCTTTCCAAATTGTACTTTCCGCGTAATCTTCAGAAATGCCAGACTGGAAATGATACTGAAAATAACAATGCGAAAAAGTACAATTGGTATTACTTCATAGAGACTAGCCGTCTGGATTGTACTGGGGCCTGTTCAAGACCGCGTACGCCCCCTTCTCGCATTTACAACAGCAAGGCAACGTTGACAGTCTAGCACCTCTGAACACAGTATTAGGCAACCGGCGACAGTAGACCGGCGCATACCGAGCATACCAATCGCACGTTCAGGTTCAACATTAGGAAGGCGTGTCATGAGAACCTCAAGACTGTTAATGTGTTTTTTCCACTCCGCGTGGTTCACCACAGTTGGAACCTGGTCATTATGTATTCGCTCATATTAACTATCCTGTACTACCCATTTTCAAATAATTCATTTATCCAAGTGTCAAATTATGTTTTTGTTCAATGTATTTACCACTGAGGGTCTTACTACGGTGGAATAAGGTTATGTGTTCATAGTATTTTGAATTGACTGTGACAAACATTTGTTTATTCCAATTGCTTTTGATGGCAAGAATCTGCATTTTTCTATTGCAAGCTGAGGACAAATATTACTTGAAGTATGTTCATCCATATGAATTATTTCCTAACATTCACAATTTAGACGGTATTAAACCCAGGGAATGTGCCTATCGACAGGGAAAAAGCCACAATGGATTTTTATATTTCCACAATGCAGCTGTGAGGTGTTTTTTCAAATGTTTTTTGCAGGTCATTGGTATGTTAGAGTTGTTTGTTGTTTAACGTTACTTTTAGCAATTCTACACCTATGAATACATGACACGTTTTATGGATAACAACTTCTTTTTTATTCTTCATACGACGTTTCAGAGCTAATTTTTGCTCCTTCACCAGGTTACTGCAGAGTCAATGCAAAGAGTAAATATATATATATATATAGATAAAACTATGTTTACACAATGCAAGGTGGGAGAAATACAAAGATAACAATATAAATGCGAGGCCAATTGGTTTGGATTAATGTACAAAGATAACAATGTATTGTAATGACAAAGCCAAGGGTGCCGGTCGGGTGTGTTGATGTACAAAGATAACAATATAAAAGGAAGCCAATTAGATAGGATTAATGTACCAAGATAACAATGTAAGGATGAAGCCAAGAGATTAACGGTAAAGTAATGAAAGACAAATCCGACGCTTATAGGACATTAGAGTATACACTAGGAAGGTAAATGTCTTGGTCTCGGTTAATGGCTGGCTACTGTCCCTGGATCTCGTTGCTTTCTTGAAGTTTCCTAATTTTCCAGTGGCTGATCCTGGAGTGTAGAATCTTGGTTTGTTGCCCGGAGATATGGTGGTCGGGATTTTTGATGATGTGTTCCGAAAGGGCAGATTTCATGTTAGATTTTTCTACAGTGCCACTGGTCTTATGTTCTTTTATATTGGTGGCTATGGGGCGTGACGTTTCTCCTATGTATTTGTCTCAGCTGTTGCATGCAATTTCATGTTTATCATGTAACATGTTTTTGGTGTTCTGTCTGAGGTGAAAGTGACGTCTATTTTGTCTGTTCTGGTGAGCAGGTTGCTGATCTGGTGACCTATTGGACCTTGGTATGGGATACTGACGAGGGTTGGTGATGGGGCTGGTTTGGACAGGTCAGAATCTTTTTGCTGGGAGGCTAGGGTTTTGCGTATGTTTTTTCCCCACAAGATGTTTAGGGTATCCGTTGAGGGCAATGAAGGTGTGACTAAGGTGATGAATTTCTTGGCTGAGGCTGTATGAATTGAAGGTGGCTATGGCTCGTCGGGTGAAGGTGGCAATGGTGGCTTGTTTGATCTGAGGGGGATGTTTGACAGGTAGTGAATGGACTGGTCCGTGTGGATTGGTTTTCGGTAGACGGCACTGTGGATGTTGTCTAGTTGTACATCGAGGAAGGCTAATTGGTGGTGCTTTTCTGTTTCAATGGTGAATTTGATTCTGTGGTGATGTAGGTTGAGCTGGTCCAGTAGGGCTTCGGGGTCCTGGTCTTTGTCCAGGATGGTAAATGTGTCATCAACTTTTCTATACCAGCATAGGACTGGAAGGGGGACCACATTTAAGCAGCTTCTTCAAAGTTGGTTTAAATGATATTCTATTACTGCTTTTTGCAGATGATGTTACCTTACTTGATGACACTGTTATTGGTTTACAAAGAAAACTTGATACATTGTATCGTTTTTGCTCAAAATGGGGTTTAGAAGTTAATCTTGACAAATCTTGTATAGTAGTATTTAGAAATGGTGGATATCTTAAGAAATCAGAAAAATGGTTCTATTATGGAAACCAAATGAATGTTGTATCACACTATAAATATCTAGGTGTTGTTTTTACCACAAAATTGATATGGTCGAGGACATGTGAAACACCAAGTGTTCAAGACAAAAAAGCCTCGTTCCCTATATTTAAAATGTTTAAAGATCTTCCACATATATCTTTGAAAGTTGCTTCAGCAATATTTGATAGTAAGATATCCCCAATATAATTGTAATGTAGTGAAATCTGGGGCATACATTTCGTCCTCACATTGAGAAAACCCAATGTTTCTTTTCAAACGTTTTCTGTGTGTTAATAAAAATGTTTCTTCCAATTCTGTACTTGGTGAAATTGGCAGGACCCAATTATGCGTTAAATATTACGGCAGATGTATCAAATATTGGTGCAGAATATTACATATGGATAATAATCGACATCCCAAATCATGTTATGAAATGTTAAAGTTGCAAGACGACAGTGGCAGCTTCAACTGGGTTACGCATGTGCGTCTACTTTTATTCCGAACTGGATTTTCTTACGTTTGGATTACACAGGAATGTGGGAATATAGAAACGTTTATAAGTGAATTTAGACAAAGATGTCAAGATATTGAAATTCAAAATTGGCACTCTAGGATAACATCATCTTTTCTAAAAGACTATGGAGCAATCAAGTCCGCCCTCGAACCTGAAAAATACATATTGGAACTTTGTCATAACAAGGACCTTATACGCATTTTATGCAAATTCCGCTGTTTAAGCCATAAGTTAAATGTTCAACAACAACGTTATAATAATAATATAAATTTTAATGTATTGATATGTGACAAATGTGATTTTAATGTTACACAGGATGAATTTCATTTTTTACTTGTGTGTCCATTCTATTCTGTACAAAGAAAACTGTACTTACCTAGTTATTACCATATGTTCCCATTAAGATTAAAATTTAAACAACTTTTAACAACAACAACAATAGAATTATTTCTAAAACGTAACTTGCCTGTATGAAAATGAACTAATTACATTGTTTTTGTCTGTCCATCCGCACAATATTGTTCTTGTATGTTTGTACTCTTGGCCATGTGGCCTCAAATACTGAATAAACTTCTTCTTCTTCTTCTTCTCCTAGCTGACCATGCGACCTGTAAGCTTAGCTTCTTTTACCTTGTTGACAAAGGTACTGGAATCGCTGAGTAGTGTTTTCCTTCTTTCCCCATGGTGATAGTAGTTTGGCAAGATGCTGGGCTGTATTGTAGAAGACTGAGCCTCTGGAAACAAAAATCTGGACCTTCTAAATGCCTTTCCAAATGGTCGATGCTCATGCTGTTGATCACTGGATTGTGTGTTCTAGACTCGATTATTTACAGACAGCCGGCATATAGCTGGAATATTGCTGAGTGCGTGGCGTAAAACAAAAAGTCACTCACAAACTTTCCCAATGGTGATAGTAGTTTGGCAAGATGCTGGGCTGTATTGTAGAAGACTGAGCCTCTGGAACCAAATCTGACCTTCTAAATGCCTTAGGATACAATAGCATGCATGTTTATCAAATAGTGATGAAGGCACAAAGGCAAGTTAATCAGAATACAGGCACATATGATAAAATACAAAAAGCACATTTTGTCCATGTTGCCCTCACATTTAACATTCAACACATTAAACAATCTTTACAATCAAACTTCAGTGAGTGAGTGAGTGCGGCTATAAAACGTTGAAAGGTCAGCATGCCAACGTTAAATAATTGAATTCTACATTCTTCCCTAGAAAATGATTGCACATTTCTTTGTGAGTGTTCATCATCCTGATTGCTGTTTCACTGATATATACAAAATATGTCAAAGGATGGGAAATGAATTCAAAATAATGATTATGCTTTCCGTTCTGACGTTTGTTGGGTGCCATGAGTTTAACGCCGCTTTGAAGACTGTGAGCGAGTGAGTGAGTGAGTTTAGTTTTAGCAATATTCAAGCAATATCACGGCGGGGACACTAGAAATGGGCTTCACACTCCATCCGTTTTGAGCAGATAGTCACGAGCAAACTGACTTTGGCCAATATGACATCGCAGTAAACTACTCCTCATCATGTCTTGACTGATAACCCAAGCAGGTATAACCAATTGTTGGTTGTTGGCGCGTGGAGCTGTCTAAGGCCCTAGGTTAGCGGATCCAGCGAGCTTGAGGTGCCGGGATCGAGCCCACCTGTGACCGGCTGTAAAAACCTTGGAGTCAACTTTGTTTGATGACTCCCTGTGCACTTAAAAGAACTCACGAATCAGATGGCCAGATGGTGGCCACATGGATACGCGCAAACAACAAGTTGCGGGTACAGCAACGTGCTGTAAAACTTGGACAAAGTACTGTGACTGTCTCAGTCCACCCAGATGTGAATGGGTACCTCGTAAGGATGGGAAAGCCACATTAACCTGGTGCGCCTACAGGCTGCAAGACTTGTATGATCCCCAGGGAGTTGAGATTGATAATACGATGTCCTGTTGAGATTGACATCAAATGACCGAGGGGAAAAACGGTTAGAATTGGTCTTCAGCAACTCATGCTTGATGTGAAAGGGTACTAACCGGATCGGATGGTCAGGCTCGCTGACTTGGTTCATACATGTCATCGTATACCAACTGCAAAAATAATGTCATCTTGAGTCCACAACAACAAAAATTCCGGGTCATTTTACCTTGACCTCATCGTCGTTGTCATTGTAATCACTCGTTGTTCTTCTCTGAGACATTGTGACCTACACAAAAGACCAAACACTTCATCGTAACCTTTGAAAACACCAATGACACAGTTCTTATAAAGAAAATATATTTTTCATTTACCACACCTTCAAATACTAAGAAGGTATAACACCGAGAGAAAACGATTCCCCAGTCATTTCAACTCCTCATGAACAACCAGGGCAATGTGTGAACCAGAGAACCGCCACAGCTTTTCATTTCATACTGCGTGTTTGTTGTATCAAATTAATATCGACAAAAGACGTGTTTGCGTCTTTGATATGGACGAGGCAACCCCTGTGCACTTAAAAAGAAGTCACGAATCCGTTGGTATATGACCAGATGGTGACCACATGAATACGTGGAAACACCTAGTTGCGGGTACAGCAAAGGGGAGTAAACTTGAAACAAAAGTACTGTGGACTAGCCCACCAGCGCTGAATGGGTAGCTCTATGGAACATTAATACGGTGCGCCTAGTACAAAAGTTGTATTGTCCCAGGTAATGCAGTTTTGCTGCATACACATACTATACACAACAGAATTTGAATAGAATTATTCTGCCAAGACAATCAGCCTCTTATCTCATGCACACAGGTAAGAGATGTAGAAAATCTGTTTGTCAGTAATTACAGGGGAAGCACTATTTATAAGCCTGGTTCAGCACGTTCATTTAAATAGATAATGGGTTGAGGATTTAGATAATATCAAACGGTTTAACAATAGAACGGTTCAATCTACTGTAACATATAAATGCAATAATAAATAATATATAGAGACATATTGGACTAACACAGTGTGAAAGTTTTTCCTGTCAACTTCTCTGTAGATTAAGTGCAGATTGAGTGCAAGCTATTATTAGACAAAAGGAGTTTAACTTGGAGATATTGAAGCAGCCCCAGTCCTTGAGCACCCTCATGGCTTAGGTTTATTGGGACTTGAAGACACATGACCTATATTGTAACTGTCTTGTTGATAAATGAACACACATACACACCAAGAAATATGGAAAACTGCAGTTTAGTTGTTTATGTTTTAAGTTACCCAGGTAAACAACGTGTATCTAGTACATTAGAAGGGGGATGAAATATAAGAGTTCAAATCCCAAATGCCGAGTGTCGGATGTGCAAAAATACCGAAAATGAAAAAAAATTCAGATTCGAATCCCCAATCCTGAATCTGAAAAAATAATCAGATTCGGGATTCGAATCCCGAATGTGAAAAAATATTCAGATTCGGGAGGGAATGAAATATAAGAGTTCAAATCAAATGGGGGCGCGGTGGGCGAGCTGGCTAAGGCGCCAGGCTAGTGATCCAGCGAGGTTGAGGTGTCGGGATCGAGGCCACCCGTGACCGCGTAAAATTCCCTTTGAGTGAACTTTGGGTGCAGACTCTTTCAGTGTTGTCACAAGCCCCTAGTATACAGTACAGAACCCTGTGTGCACTTTAAAGGAACCCTCGAATCCGTTGGTATATGACCATATGGGTGGTCACATGAATACGTGCAAACACCTAGTTGCGGGTACAGCAACGCATTTGGACAAAGTACTGTGACTATGTGTCCCAGCTTCACCCAGCCGTGAAAAGGGTACCTGTAGTTGGGATGAGAAAGCCACAATAACTCGGTGCGCCAAGTGGCTGCAATAGTTGTATACTCCCCAGGGAGTTGAGATTGATAATATGATGTTCAGATTCGAATCCCAATCCTGAATCTGAAAGTAATCAGATTCGGGATTCGAATCCCTGAACTCCCCAATCCCAATCCGTTTCTAACTTCATGTTCACCTACACCATCATAAAATATTCTGATTGGGGATTCGAATCCCCAGATAATGAAAAAAATATTCAGATTAGAGGATTCAGAATGCTGAATATGAAAAAATATTCAGATTCGGGATTCGAATCCTGAATGTGAAAAAAATATTCAGAGATTCGTGGATTCGGATTCTGAATCCTGAATATGAAAAAATATTCAGATTCGGGATCTCGGAACCCGGAATGTGAAAAAATATTCAGATTCGGATCTGAATCCCCAACCCCAAACCTCCAATCCTGAATCCGTTTCTAACTTCATGTTCCTGAGAGTGCCCAGGTTCTCCACCTGGTTAGCACAGGCTCCTTCTGACACTCTGGAGTACAGAAGGGCTGCAGCGTTGGGGAACCTTCACATCTCCAGAGAAGTTCTTGGTGGGTCTGACTAGGCACTATTTCCCTGGGAGTAGCCTAAATTCGCGCTGTCTGGGCTGCGTGCGTGGAAGGGACAAGGGTCCTGAGCTGGAGGCACTGAGCTTCTTACAAGGCCTGATCACCCGGAACCTACTCTGCTGCATACCATCTTTAATTTGTATAAGATAAGAATAAGGCTGCCAGTGTCATTGTGGACGGCGATCTGTCCCTGATTTGGACTGATAGGCTGTGGATGTTCATATGAAGCCCTTGAAGATGACTAAAATTTATACGGCTTTAAGAAGGCAAGATTGGGATGGTGTTTTGTTCCTTGACGAG